GAAGAAGAAGAAGAAGAAGAAGAAGAAGAAGAAGAAGAAGAAGAAGAAGAAAAAAAAATTTGGTGTTTCTAGAAAATTTTGTTAAGTGTACACACTTATCCTTGCAGGCTAAGAGAACTAGATGACTATTAAAAAACCACAGAGCAGAAGCAAGCAAGGTCCTGCCTTCCTAACTGCACAGAGAACTATGCACTTACCAAGAAACTTCTTGTTGAGGAGGAGGGAGCCAGCGCCATTCCAGTGCCTATCCACCAGCTCCAGGAGCTGTCTGAGGACAGTGGCCACATGGGGGGTTCTGGCGGAGATCGGGGGGCTATGGTTTCCTGGTAAACCACGCAAACTGCCCAGGTCACTAGAGAGAGGCTCAAGAAACAAAACAAAACAAAACCAAAAACCAGTACCATTTGTGTCATTCTTACACAATAAAGGAAATAAGGATCCAGAACATTTAAAACATTAATAATTTTTAAAGTAAAAAAGCTTCATCTTTTGCTTTAGATATGAATCTCATGTTACTATGTCCAAGGCAAACATATGAGATACTATAGGCAATTTCATGTTTCTTTTTTCTTTTCCTTTGATGGTGCTAGGGATTAAACCCAAGACCTTGTACTACTGAGCCTCATCTCTAGGCTGTCAAAGAAATTTCAAAAGCAGTAGAACCTCTATCATGACTTTTCTATACAGGTTTTCAGAATTTATTAACAATAAAAATGTTTTATTTAGTCCTTATATGTGTGATTCAATGTATTATGTAATACAAAAAGAAAATGAAACGGCAGGGCATTTTTAAGAAGTACCATATATAATAAGATAAAATTGAGAGTACTTTAATAAGAAATTAAAATTCATAATAAGCTTCTATTTTAAATGACCATAAATGCCCTCTAACATTTTAAGAATTTTGAGTTAAATGTTATTGTTAGGTCAAGTACCAAAGATATTTTTTTATTCAAAGAAATCATAGATTTATATAGTAACATTCTTCATTCTAAACTGACATGCATAATATTATGCATTTTATATATGTCTACCTCCTAGTCTTTCCTATAGAGTCTTGTGGACTTCAAAAAAACTAATTCAGGCTAGAGAGGTAGCTCAGCAGTGCTTGCTTAGCATGTGCAAAGCCTTGGGTTCTATCCCCAGCAGCACACACACACACACTCTGATATGCACACACACAGGCATGCACACACACATAAACATGCACACACACTGACATGCACACTCTCACACACACTGACATGCACACACACACAGATATGCACACACACATAGACATACACACACAGACACACACACTCTCACACACACAGTATGACATACACTAAAGACAGTCAAATTATTTCTCAATTTTGCTTGACTCTTTAGACGTAAAAAACTAAAGATGATTATTAGGTAATGAAACACAACACCCAAAGACAGTGATATGAGTTGAGTCACGTGTGTGGCCGACGATTGGTAGGCAATGGCGTTACAACTAGGATAAACATGTTCTCAGGAAATCTATGCCTAGTCCTGATTAGTACGGCATAAGGACTGTGGATTTATGAAAGACACAAAATGGGGTCATTTGAGAAGTTAACCTGATTTCAGGTTAAAGCATAAAAGAGTCTAAGTCATATCAAAAACTACTTTATGGAAATTTTTTAAAAATAAAATTTACTGTTATTGGCTTTAATTTTTTTTCTTTTCTTTGTTGATTGAGACAGAGTCTCATGGGGCCTAGGCTGGCCTTGAACTTTTGATCCTCCTACCTCTGCCTCCCAAGTGCTGGTGGTAGACTCCACCATGCCCAGTTTAACTTTAGAAATTTGAGAATTACAGATTTCAGAAACCAAACAGCATATATACATATAATTTACAGTCAAGGGCCTAGCATGTGTGAAGCCCTGGGTTCTATGTCAAGCATCCACTAAAAGCAAAAAAAAAAACCTGTCTGCTTTTATGTTTATATTAAGTCAGCACTTTGAAAGCTTTCCATATTAAGAAAAACAAAGTCTAACAGGAAAAAAATGATAATATTGAAGACAATCCAAAAATGTTGAGATTTTAACAATGTGACATGAAATAGAAGTGAAAATTTTTTCCTAGACTGTTTAGTAATAAGGCATCCCAGTATCCTAAGTGTTCCTGGGACTTTACCCTAAATATATTATCACAGTTAGTGTTTTTGTCTGATAAAATGGGCGTTTGTGGGTGAATATGTAAAACAAGCCAGGAACTAAAGAAAGTATTGCAAGACTGCCCCCTTTAGTGAACAAAAAATACGACTGTCTCAGAGGCCTCCATGTTCCTCCTTTACTGTGATGTAGGAGAGAGCGCCTAGGCCTTGCACAAACTAGGCAAACTGTACCTGGCTCTCAGCTTCGCAATTCTGAAGACAGACTAGGAAGGATTCAAAGGGTTAAGAAACAGACAATTTCCATTAATCATCCTAACATGCAAAAAGATTTCAAACAACTAAAAACTTAAAATGATTAGAAAGAGTTTTTGACCAAACATTCTGCTCCCTTACAAGGCAGCACATGACTGACACACGATTCCCATGACAGGGATCGCGGGCTCTCAGAGTTACTGAAGCTTCCTGGTGGCAATAAGACCTGCAGAAAAATTAACATTCAGAAAAGACAGGTCTTGATTCTTGGAGCCACTTCCAGCTAAAAATCCCCTGGGAAATCTAATTCACTTGCTTATGGATACTTTAGTGCGGGGAATAGAATCATTTGAGTATCTGTACAGAAAAGCAAAATAATGATGCTTAGCTGGGCTTTGGTGATGCACATCTTCTATCCCAGCACTGAGCAGGCTGAGGCAGGCAGATCTGTGAGTTCAGGGTCAGCCTGTTCTATAATGTGAGAAAAAGATTTTATAAAAGCCATTCCAAGTAAGTTAGCTACTGTGACAATGTCTCCACTTTGTCCTGCTAGCCAACTCTTGTAGGAACAGTTACTCAAGTGCTTTCCTACCATGTGCCATGTTTATGCTTTCAGAGTAAATCTGTTCCTTTGCGATAGAAAGCTGAGCAAATAGAAAAGTGGGATATAACTCTTCCTAAGGGCAAAAGAATCACAGCTATAGCCTGGTAGTGCTGGCCACAGGTCTTTGAAAATCCCCTAAAACTTTTAGCAATATTGGTGGAACCACCGGAAACCCCAAGAGCAGCACATTCTGTTCTTGAGCCTTTGTGTTTCTTGTACACACACAAACAAGTCAATACTTGCGCCTCGCTGCCTGTAGCTTCTTGGAAACCACACTTCAGATTCAGGTTGGCAAGAACATTGTCCTTCCGTTTGAATCCTCCGCTTAATGACCTCTGCGTTGGAATTTCTTTGTTTTCTGGAGTCCCAGAAGGTAACAGCAGTGTCCGAAGAGAGTTTCCAAGGACACGGTTGCCTGGGAAAGAACCAGGTGCTGGCGCAAAATCCCTGAGACTGCTGGATAACTGTTGTTCTACATTGGCCAGCAGAGCAGGGTCACTGTTGAAATGGGTTGTGGCATACAGATCTGTGGAGAAAAAGCCTGGCAAATGAACCTGCCTTTCAACTCTCTTACATCTGTTGGTATCTAGGGTTATAATAATCACTCTTTAACATAACTCCTTTTTTTGTCTCCCTCTACCTGACCAAACCTCAACTCTGAATAAATGCAGCTGTCCACATGCTCCCACCGTATACCAGAACAGTGGTTAGAGAACAGTGCACATCTGTCCTGACCTTTCTCACTTTCATTCACAACTGCTAGATTATGTGGACACTTGTTACTACTGCCCAGCTGTCCTTATATATTACTCCAGTCAATTCATTCTATTTCCTGAGAGAATTATTTCACATTTCTTTTCTCTCCAGCTTTGAATATCATCCCCTCCATCCTTTATCTCACCAAGAAAACAGAAAATCAAAGAAAATGTCCACACCATCTCACCACTTAATTTATCAACTGACTTACACTCTATTGGCTGTCTGAATAAATCCCCTGCCTCCTTCTTGTAACTGTTGCTGCTTAATTTAACTGCTTCTTTACCAGTTGACTAAATTTCATCTCTTGTGGACTAGACAAGAGCTCTTCTGTTTTCTGATACATCATTATTAATTATCCCTCTGCTGGTGGTTTTTATCAGTCTTTAGGATTCCATTCCCTCTTTCATTTCTCTGCTCCCTCTTATTGCAAAGCTCCTTGAGGAGTTGTATATACTTAGTACTCTGTTGCTTCATTTCCAGGGTGTGTGTGTTTTTTAACTCACCTCAATGGAGCTTTTATTTTAATGTATCCCCTGGAGCTATTCACTAATTCCTTTGTGTTTCCAAATAACTGCCAGTCCCAGCTCCTTCCTTGCAGCCTCCAACATAGATACTACTTCCTCCTTCTTATCACACATTTTTCACTCTCACCACCTGTAACCAACGGCTTTCTCCTTTTCTTTCACTCTTCATGAAATCCACAATATTATGTCAAATTATTAGGGTGCCATCTCCAGGAAGTTCTAATAGCACCTCAAACTTAAGATATATAAAACAAGACTCAATATTTATCTTAAAACTCATTTCTACTCTTCAATTCTTTTTTATATCATAAATTCTCCTCGTAAGCGAGGCCTTAAACCTCAGAATCACTGACTCTCTTTCTCCTACACTTGATTCCAAGTCCATCAACCAATCCAAGGGTATTTTTCCTATAATATAGTCAGAATCTGTCATCTGCTCACTACCTCCACTGTTCTTTCTAATTTTTATCTAAATTTTAATCTCTTAAATGGGTTTTCCTATTTACATTCTTGCCCCATTTTATTCTCAATTCAGTATCCAGAGTAATTTTTGTTCTGGTTTTCTGTCTCTTTCTCTCATCCCAGATCTCATACATGTGCAGGTACATGTTTACATGTCTGTATGGAGGCCAAAGGATGATGATGGGTGCTTCCTCAGTCACTGTGCAGTGAGATGGGTTCCCTCATCAAACTGGCAAGTGCAGCTGGCCAGAAAGCCCTACAGAAAGCTCCTGCTGTGTCTGCCTTCCCAACACTGGAATGAGGGGTGCACATCTCCACACCTGGCCAGCTTTCACCAGGATCTAAACTCAGATCCTTAGGTTTGTGCAGCAAGTGCTTTACCAACTCAGCTCACCTCCTGCCCTCAGAGAAACGCTTAAGTGAGAACCCTTTGCTATAACTCTTCCAACCATACATCTCACCCAGAAGAAGTGTTTGGCCATCACTCTGGCCTTGTCTGTACACTTCATTTCTCTTACTCCGCCATACTAGGTTCCTTATCCCACAAACATGGCCTCAGGAATTCTTCACTTACTATTTCCACTTTAGAAAATTCCACCCCAAGTTATCTACTTAGCTTATGCTTTCATTTCACTCAAGTCTCATGTTTATGATGCCTCAACAATGCCTCAACCTGCCCATCCAACCTGAAACATCGCTTCTTCCTTATTATTTCTTACATACTTGTTATTTTCCATCATGGCACTTACAAATTGACATATTTATATGCTAAGTTATTATCTATTTTACCTTGTTAGAATAAAAGTAGAGACATAATTTATGATCAAGTATACATGGAATTAGATTTTGTTTTTACTTTATCTTAGAACTAGATTAGTGTCCGGCACATGGTAGGTATCCAAAGAGTTTTGTTGAATAAATTAATAGCCAAAGACCAGTCTTTATGACTTCTCCTGAAACTATCTTCTCCTGAGAGTGAACTTTCCTATTCTCACACTTGCACCATTCCATGCTCAACTCAGACCCAGACTAGCTTTTACTCTTTTTTTGTCCCTCACCATACATGTACATATATATGCATGTTCACATGTGATCATACGTGTGTGGAGGCCAGAGGTTGATGATGGTGACCAGAGAGAACTAGTTACATTTGGGAATAGGTCTTGTGATGCCAGTAACTAAAATAACATGTAGTTGTAAAACTCATATTTCTAGATTTTTTTCTCTAAATAATCCATCATGTTGCACCCAAACCCTCCAGATTTCTGGAAATTCCATGGACCACCAATGACCCTAATATACAACTGAAGAACCACAAATTCAGTTTCAGTAAAATCCAAAATTCATGCAAACTGACAGCTATTACCTGAACTAAGCTTCAAGAGCCTTCCTGTACTGGAATCGGGGTTTGACAGAGAAGTTAGTAAATCTCCGCAGGAATGGGATGAGGTGGCTTTTATGTCATTTGAAGGTTTTATGTTATATTCTTGGTAGTTCTTGATTTTTTGAGGCTTTTTGACAAGACTTCCATGCAGGGAAAGAGTTTGAGAATAATGATTATCATAACAGTCCAGACTGACATCTGAAGGTAATTGATAGGGAAGGATCTGGTTAGAATCACCCACGTCCAGGCGTTTACCCAATGAGACATCATGGGTACATGGATATGTGTCAGGTCTTGGTATCAAGTCTTTTTCTGGAGAAGAACCTGAAGACTTAGTGTCTAAAAAAGATACCCGGTATCCATCTCTAGTCATCTTCTCTGGAGATCGGACTGTGGACTGATGAGGCACGTAGTGTCTGAATTCTAATCCTCACCAAAGGAAACAAAACAAAACATGATGAGAATTCATCTTGGTCCAGTTGGGTACCTTTGTTCACTAGGAAAGGGTGTTAAAAGGATTAGAATTTCATCTAATTCCAATAGATGAAAGCAAAATGGTGAAAGGATTTCCACAAGGACAACGACGACAAGATATGTAGGACATTTTGTAAACAATAAAGAATCTGTCATTATGGAGACAAACTTCAAAATAGTTTTTGCTTTTTTTTTTTTTTTTTTTTTTGTCTTTTGAGACAAGATCTGTCTATGCAGCCCAGACTGGCCTGGAATTCACAACCCTCTTGCATCCTCCATTTCCCAAGTGCTGGGATTACAGATGTGTGCTACCATACATGACTTCTAGGCAGCAATTTCATATAAAAAGTTGGCGTACTTCCACAATGGAAATAATTGTAGCTTTATGCATTCAGTTTATAGACAATAGTTGGTCTATGATTTTATAGACTCCTTGCCTTCTCTCACTATTAAACTACACCCAGAGGTTCTAGTTCACCCACTGGGAACTGATACCTAAGCTAGTTAAATAGTAGAGAATGCAAAATGTATGAAAATCCCTGGCCTAGGTGCTATCCCAATTCTGAAGAATTTCTCTCAGACAGTTACATTTGCTATTCAATAAGTCTCAGTTTAGCAAGCAGAACAGTAGACAAAGGAGCAGGATCTGAGCTCCTTGGTACTTTCAGAGTTTGTGGTGCTTGACGGGATATCTTAGGAATAAAATATGTCATTTCTGAATTAGCTACACTAACTCTTCTAGCCCTGTGTTTCTAGGACCTACAGGAATGGTTCACCCATTGTCAACATACATCACATGGCAAAGGCCATAGAACAGTATCTTTACTTAGGTAACAAAAATAACTTAGGTATAAAGAACTGATTTTTTAAGTACTGACAAATTAGATATTTTGCCTTCCCGGGATATTATAAATCCAACAAAGAGCTAAGAGGACAGTGAGGAATTTCTAGGTCCAAATTAGGAATCAAACAAACAAAACCTTAAAGGTGTGCTAGACAGAAAATCACGTTTACCCAAAGTCATTTCAGGGTGAAAAGGGACAAAAGCATAGGTTCTGGCCAAGGTAAGAGACATTGCAACTGCATCCCCATAGCTCACACACACTGTCGGAAGGAAATGTGGGCAGGATACAGTGCTAAGGGTAAAACAAGCCATTTCTGAGAATGACTTGTGCTCGGATTAAAGCAGTTCCAGACTGATAGTATTCTAATACTTGGCAGAAGCAAATGGAAGTTTGTTCTGGAAAAGACAAACACATATAAGACTAATAATTATTTGTTTAAATAATTACTAAAATATAAAAAGCAAACAACCAAAAATAAACAAAAAACCAAAAAGCATTATCATGAATGAAAGCAGTAGAAAAAAACTTAGACCTATAAAGATCTCAGATACTATGAATAATATATACCATATAGCTATAAAGCACCTAAGTTTATTCTGTTTAAGGAAATATTAAAAAAGCCTACAGTTTTCTTAGAAAAGGTGACTCAGATTAAATCAAACATATATAACTAAGAAGAGGGAAAAAAAAGGACTGAGAAGAAAAAAATTTGGAATTAAGAATACAGCACACAGAGTTGCACACCTTTAATCCCAGCACTCAGGAGGCAGAGGCAGGCGGATCTCTGTGAGTTCAAGGCCAGCCTGGTCTACAAGAGCTAGTTCCAGGACAGGCTCCAAAGTTACAGAGAAACCCTGTCTCAAAAAACCAAACAACATGGCTTCGGGCCGTGGCAGGGTCCCGGTGAGGAGGAGCTTGGGCGTTCCCCGACCCCATAGACGCCCAGGTCGCCCTGCAGTGCTGGCTACCCCCTCCCGCCTGCCATCCCAGCTCCCATCCAGATCCTTCATCTGGCGAAGGATGGCGATACAGACGGAGACCCACATTGGAGCACCGGACTGAGCCTCCCCAAGGTCCAAATGAGGAGCAGAAGGAAAGAGAACGTGAGCAAGGAAGGCAAGATCAGAGGGAGCCTTCATCCGACGATGGATGGCGATACAGATGGAGACCCACATTGGAGCACCGGACTGAGCCCCCCAAGGTCCAAATGAGGAGCAGAAGGAGGAAGAACATGAAAAAGGAAATCAGGACTGCGAGGGATGCTATCACCCACTGATACAAGGGGACTGATCTAATGAGAGTTTACCAAGGCCAGTTGGACTGGGACTGAACGAGGACGTGATCCAACCAGATTCTCGGAATTTGGCCGGATTCTCTGAACTGAATGTGGCTGGCCCGAAGTCTTTCTGAAAAGCCATTGACTATGACACTGGGACTTGTTTCCTCTGCATATACTGGATTTTGGGGATCCAGTCTGTTTGGATACTCACCTTCCTGGACCTGGAGGGAGGGGGGAGGAACTTGAACTTCCCACAGGGCAGGAAACCCTGACTGCCCTAAGGGACGAAGAGGGAGGAGGAGAGGGAGTGGGGGGAGTGGGAGGGTGTTGGGAAGAGGGGCGGAAATGAAAAAAAAACCAAACAACAACAACAACAACAGCAACAACAACAACAAACAAACAAAAAACAAAAAAGAAACAAAGAAATCAGAGTTCGTAACCAATAGGCCCACATTGAAGGACGTATTATGACTGTATAATGATCCTACAAGGGATAAGATGTCTGGGATCAAGAAAGAAATGAAAACAAAGATAAATTTAAATGAAAATTGTATAAAAACATCTTATGGGGTTTAAAAATATGTAGAATAAGAAACCATAGGAACTCTTCTTGGGAATGTAGCCCAGGGGTGGAGCCCTTGACCAGAATACATGAAGTCTTAGGTTCAATTCATGAAAGCAGAAAGAAAGGTCTGTAGGATTAATATCTTTGGGGAGTGGGAGATTAAAAGGATGAAGATACTTTAAGGTCTTTAAATTACCTAAGAGAAAACTTAAGAAAAAAATTACTATATTGACAATTTTTAAATTGTATAAGTCAAGAGCATATTGTCATTTGGAGAATAATACTAAAAATATTCAAACGGTATAACTTAAAAATCTGAGAAGAGAGAGAGAGGAAAGGAGAGAGGGAGGGAGAAAGAGAGAACAAGTAGAAAAACAACAAATCTAAAGAAAGGAAAGAAACATAAGAAAAAGAAACACACGCTTTAGGAGAAAAGCCTCTGTAAGCCTCAGTCCCTGGGAAAACAGGTTAGCAGACCAGGGTGAGCCACTGGCGTCTCGCAATTCTCATTCCATCCAGATTCCTCTGAATACCCAGCGAGCAAAATATTTACCATCTTCCTTGTGAGTGTCACTGGTCTCCCCTCTTGTTGCTTCCTGTAACTAAAAAAAGTTTGAAAATTTAGGAAGAAAGGCATTTGTGAGTGTTCAGAGGTGAGCTCCCAGGACTGGGAGTCTTTTTCCTCCAAGGTCATTCATCCCTGGAGGGGAGGGAACTAGACCTTCCAGCTGGGGTCTGAGGTTGAGCCCACTTTAAAACAGTTACAACACAAGGAGGTTCCAGGATTGCTCTAGAGCAGGGAAGAAGACTCCTTGAAAACACAAACGATCCCTAGAAGGTAAAAGGCACACCAAACACTGAACTACTGTATTTTGTTTGCATATGAATTAGATAAGGCCACTTTTTTCTTTTCCCTGTGATGGTGCACTTGTGAGCTAGGGATCAGAGGTTGACGTCTTCCTCTCCCTCTGCATCTTAGTTTTTGAGACAGGGCTTCTCATTAAACTTGTTACACATCTGTTTGATTAGCCTGGCCTGCCAGTGAGCTGGGATCCGCCTGCACTTGGGTTCCAGTAACAACCTTATGTGGCTTTTACTCATGGATCCAAACCCACGTCGTGCTTGTGCAGCGAACGCTACCCACTGAACACTCTCCCCAACCCACATCATTTCTCCAATTTTATCTTTTCTGTTGAAAGGACTCTTCTATTTATTTCATTTTCTAATAAAGCTGAGTACCAGCTACAGGAACTAACAAGAATTTTTGTTTGTTTTTCTTTTTCTCCTGAGACAGGGTCTTGCTGTATAGTCCTGGCTGGCCTGGAGCTCCCTGTATAATCAGGGTATCCTCAAACTTGCTACAGTTCTGCTTCTGCCTCCTAAGTGTTGTAATTATAGGTGTGTGCCCATCATGCCAAGCAACTACTAGAGTTTTAAGAAACTGTAAATGCCTGGCAGTGGTGGTGCATGCCTTTAATCCCAGCACTCAGGAGACAGAGGCAGATGGATATCTGTGAGTTCAAGGTCAGTCTGGGTCTACAAGAGCTAGTTCCAGGACAGGCTCCAAAGCTACAGAGAAACCCTGTCTTGAAAAACAGAAAAAAAAACCTGTAAATTAATCTGAAGCATAACTAGGCAAGAATTGAAAGAAAAAAGAAAGCCATCTAACATGCATTTAAAAATATCTTAAATGTTCATTTTCTTGGCTAGGGATATATCTCAGTGGCACAGGTCTAGACTAGCATGTCCAAGGCCTTGGGTTCTAGTCCAGCACACCCAATACAATTTACATGGCCAGAAAAAGAATTTGCACTTATTTTTGATAAACTTAGGATTATAGTAAGTTCAATTCTCTCTCTCTCTCTCTCTTTCTCTCTCTCTCTCTCTCTCTCTTTCTCTCTCTCTCTCTCCTTGTTTCAGGAATTAATTCTAGAGAGCTTTTTTTTCTGAGAAATATTATTTAACTGTAAATTGGAATAGATATTATCTTTGTTTCCTTAAATCAATAGCAAGATTTTTAAAAAAGCAACAACAAAGATAGTTTCCTAGCACCCAAGTAGAAGTTACAATAACAAAGAAACAAATGCTAGCCTGTATTTAAAATTAGAAGGTGTTATAACACACACACATATATACTGAAAAATATTCATTCTCTCTTCACTAAAACAGCCCTGGTCACCTACCCCATTCACCCTCCCTCTGGCTGTTTTCCACAGTTCTGTTACTTATAAGATTATCAAAGACAAAGCAAAGGGAGAAGCTGTCATTTCTGTTTGACGTCATACTTGCTCACACACGATAACTTTAATAAAATGATTACATGAATTCTACTACCATTTTTTCCTCTGAAAACTTGTTATTTTTAATTTTTCCCAAATTTGGCATTACCTCTAATTTCTCATTGCCTGTCACTCCTGTACCACATTATCCCTTTCCTTCTGAAAGCCACCTTGATACGTAAGACGTGAATTAAAAAGTAAAGGTAGAAAATGTGAGAGATCAGAGAGCAAGAGATGGAGGTACTTGGTAAAGGGAAGGAATTTTATAATCAGCTCTGAATTTTTAACAGCTGCATCCCTGTTTGAGGACCAATACCTAGCACATACTGTGTTAAGGGTACATAGATAAATAAAAACACTACACAAATAGTATTAGTCTTTGGCTAATTAATACATCAGCAGGGCAGTGAATACATTACCTGTGTTCCCAGTGGACGAATGTCTAACTTTTGAGCTGGTGTGCCACCACCCTGGCTTGCAGACGTACTGGTTATTGAATCCTTTATTTCCCGGCTGGGGAAGGGAATAAAAAGTCCTTTGTTTGAGTCTATATGAAAAGGAAAGGAATACAATGAAATTATGACAGAGTTCAAAGGCAGCATGTCTTGTAGAAAGATACTGGAGGGCAAGTCACAAGACTGGGCGCTAATTCATGGCATCACCATCTAGAAACCATGTGAACTTGGGCAAATTGCTTCAGCACTATGAATTCTCTCTTTGTTAGTTCAACAGTGATAATGAAACTTAAACTACCTGTCTTTCAGCATTGAAGGAAAGCAAAAACAAGATCATGGATATGAGATGGTCTCACACATTTTGACCTATAGACAGACATCCGGAAGGCAAATGGTACTTTGCACACTTTCTATACGAGTAAATAATGCCGCCTGACAGTAATTCAGCAATCTCCTTCCTCAGCAAATGTCGAGAACAGACTCCTGGCTTTCTCTATATCTCCAGGGCTCTAATCCACAGACTGCACTGATTCATCATTGCAAGTCTGGCTTTTCTGCCTTGATTTCTTCATTTGTAAGAAAAGAACATCTAATCAGAACCTGCTTCATAAGGAATACTAAATTCTTAGGTATCTCAGCTTTTCTTACATACAACCAGAGAAACAATGATAAAAATGAAAATAGAAAATACGTAACTCCTAAGAGTAGGAACTCTGAAAGTTACAGTTTTAACTTGATGGCACACAATTGTGTACTTATCCTAGTACGGGAAAGGCTGAAGCAAGAGGATCCCAAGCACGGCCTTTACAAGTTTTAGGGCAGCTGCCATCTTCTGGAGGAACGTTTGAGTATAAGTTTTTTGGTTTTTTTTTTTTTTTTTTTAGGGAAATTCTTTTTAGCAGGATTGTGCAAGAATCAAGATAGTTTCAAAATCTTGGGCCTTTTTCAAACAATGTGCTCTTCTGCAAGTTTTCTGGCAGCAGAAAACTACCAAGAGCCAGTGCAAATGAAAACACAGAATGGCAAAGGCAGCCTCCTGAGCAACAGCCCCTGAGTTCATTTGGGACTCTAAGATACAGCCTACTTTTTAGTTGCTTTCTGGGTTTGAAATGTCTGTAAATACAAGATAACTCTTCTATCACTGACTTTGGTAAAATTACCATTCTGAAGATAACATGAAATTCTCAAACTTTGTATTCTTTTGTAGCTTTCACTATGGCACTGTGGGTAAAACAAGGTGAAGCAGACTGGTGGGAGCAATCTGATCACTGGAGAAAAGTAAACTGATCTGGGTTCGGGCTGCCCTCATCCTCACCCTGCAGAAGACTTCTTCTGTGCAGCACTTAACACCGATTTCCAGACTCACAGGTTCTTTTTCTTTCTTTCAACCTAATTTTTGGTTTAAGAAAATCCTCCAATGTCTGAGTTCTTTGGTTCTTTGCCAAGTGCTAGCACAACTCCTGGGTTTTAGTGATAATTGAAGTCTAAATGATCCAAAATCAAAATATCCTTTTTTTGTTGTTGTTGGTTTGTTTTTGTTTTTTGAGACAGGGCGTAATAGCTCTAGTTGTCCTGGAACTAGTTCTTGTAGACCAGGCTGGCCTCAAACTCACAGAGATCCTCCTGCCTCTGCCTCCCGAGTGCTGGGATTAAAGGCGTGTGCCACCTCCACCCAGCCCAAAATCAAAGTATCTTAACTCTAGTCTCAGTTTCTCTCAACTGGCCTCCCTCTTTTGAAGATAAGACGCCAGGCAGTCCGGGCTGACCTCCAACTCATTATGTAACTGAGGGTGACCTTGAACTTGTGAACCTCCTGTTCCTACCTTACAGGTTTTGGGATTCCAGACGTATACTGTGATATCTGGTTTATCTCTTTCTATGTCCAGCTCTAAATTTCCTGAGCAGAGCTCCCTTTAAAGGCACAAATGTACATAAGAAGTAGTTTTTAAACCAAACTTAGTATCTTCACTTACAAGACTCCTCCTGCTGGCATCTCCCCAATCTGGGCATTGGTTTTCTTCCTCAACCAATCCCTCAAAACAAGCTTGTTCTTGGATTCTCACACTGAAATCTCAATCAGTTATCAATTTCTATAGAATCACTCTTCTTGGGGTGAATGAGAGCAGAATTTTATTTTAAAAGAGATGTAATTACTGTATCATTGCTTTCATCCTTTTACAGAGTACTACTCAGTGATTCTTAGTATATTCACAAAGTTGAGTGACTATCACCATGATCTCAGTTCAGAACACTTCATTACCCTACAAAGAAACCCCTTAGTTGTTATGGCCAATTCTCTCTTTCCTGTTATCCCCTCAAAACCATCAATTCACTTTCAGTCTGCATAAGCTTGCCTGATCTAGGTATTTCAAATAAATGGAATCATACAAATATGGTCTTCTGCATATGGCTTTCATTTAGCATGATGGTTTCAAGATACAGTCTGTAGCACATCTCAGCAATTCCATGGCTGAATACTATTCCTTATATGGCTATACCATAGTTTGCTACATCATTCGTCAATCAATAGACTTTTGGTCATTGTGGATAACATTGCTTTTATTATTGTACAAGTGTCTGCATAGATGTGTGTTTTTACTTTTCTCAGAAAATAGAAGTAGAGAGGAGTTTCTGGTAACTCTATGTTTAACTTCTTGAGGAATTGCTAAACTGTTTCCAAAGATGATGTACAATTTCACTCTCCTATTAGCAATGTATGAAGAATCAATTTTTTCACATCCCTTGCTTTCACTTATTAACTGTCATTTTGAATCTTGTATTCCTAACATGTATGAAGTGTTACTATTTGCATTTCCCTGATGGTTAGTGGTATTGAATATTTCAAGTACTTGATGGTCAGTTGCATATGTTATTTTTGGAGAAGCATCCATTTAAATCCTTTGCCCACAATTTAGTCAAGTGCTCATCTTTTAAGAAATACTGTATTGATTGTGTGGGTGCCAAGATGAGCATGTGGTGGTCAATGCACAGCTTTTAGAAGTTGGTTCTCACCTTTATATTGTTAAGAGGCATGGTATCTCATTTATGCTGCTATGCTATATGCATAACCTTCGTGCTTCCTGGTGATCATCCTGTCTTCACCTCTCACTTTGTCATAGGAATGCTGGAATTTCAGATGTATGCCTCCACATCTTGATTTCTCCTATGGTTTTTGCGGACTGAACTCAGGTCTCTAGGCTTCTGCAGTTTAGTGACAATACCCCTGGACCATCTCCTGCTGGACCATCTCCCCTCATCTTTTTGTTATTGAGTTGTATGAGTTCTTTGTATAAAATGGATAGTAGACTTTTGTCAGATATATGATTTTCAAACTCCCCCCTCATTTTGTGGGTTCTCTCTCTACTTTCTAGATAAGGTTTCTCTTTGTAGTTCAGGCTAGTCTTTGCCTAACGATCCTCTTGCCTTAGCCTCTAAAGTGCTAGAATTACAAGTGTGTGTTACCATGAACAGCTGCTGTATTACTTTCTAAAATTTTGCTATATTTTCCTTATTTATCATGCATGCATGCCAAGGCATATTGTCCAGCCCATTTCTCACACCCCCATACCAAGGTGATGGGACCACAATGACTTCATAGTGCTGATATGGGGGCAGAGAACTAATAGTCGATGACTTCAGTTGCTAGCAGTCACAGCTGAGGAGGATGTTCTACTTCACATGTTTGGCCAAAAATGAGGATGAAATAAAAATGCATAGCCTATATTCCCAACAGGGAAGGACTTGCTGCCCAGCTATGGAAAGGGACTTCAGCTGTTTGCTCTCTGAGGTCTGTATCTGATACACTTACTGATGTCACACCCCCACCCCCACAGAGACAAGGTTTCTCTGTGTAGCAGTTCTAGCTGTCCTGGAACTAGCTCTTGTAGATCAGTCTGGCCTCCAACTCACAGAGATCCACCTGCTTCTGTCTCCTGAGTGCTGGGATTAAAGGGGTGCGCCACCTCCACCCGGCTGTCACACCCTTCTTAAGGCAATTTCCTTGCGGTGACCAGCTAGGCAAGGGAGAGACATTCTCACCTGTTCCATTTCTGACCTTAGGTAGTTCACCCCTTCTTATACAACCTGGTAGTCCCCTGTCCACCAAGAAGGTCATCATATTGAATTTAGTGCATATGCCTGATTGGCATAGCACATTGCAATCCAGAACTCCTAGACTCAAGCAATTGGTAGAGACATTTTGAAGAGCAAATCTCACTCTTAGAGCAGTAGCTCTGTCTCCTCAAACTGCCCCCTTCTCACTGTAAGAAAATATCACAGGCAAAAAACTTTATAGTGTTTGTCTCCAGGTTTTCTTTCCATCTTTGGGGATTTAATCAGAAGCTATTTCCTTATCTGTAGTCTCATTATTATTTCTGTCTTCAGATGGGTCCTCGTTTGACTGAATCTAGCTTGAGTTACCTCTCTAGAGACACAGCTGTTCAGGCCTCTTTAAAACAAACTGCTACCCAAAAAGATATCAAATGGAAAAAAGAAAGCATATTAAACAAGTGGTGCTGGCATAACTGGATATCACCATGTAGAATGAAAATAGACCCATATCTATTACCATGCACAAAACTCAAGTCCAAATGAATCAAAGACCTCAACATAAAACCAGTCACACTGAACCTTATAGAAGAGAAAGTGGGTAGTACACTTGAACGCATTGGCACAGGGAACCACTTCCTAAATATAACCTCAGCAGCACAGACACTGAGAGAAACAATTAATAAATGGGACCTCCTGAAACTGAAAAGCTTCTGTAAAGCAAAGGACATGGTCAACAAGACAAAATGACAGCCTACAGAATGGGAAAAGAGCTTCACTAACCCCACATCAGACAGAGGTCTGAACCCCAAAATATATAAAGAACTCAAGAAATTGGACACCAAAAGATCACATAATCCAATAAAAAAAATTGAGTAAAGACCTAAACAAAGAACTCTCAACAGAGGAATCTAAAATGTCTGAAAGACACTTAAGGAAATGTTCAACATCCTTAGTCATCAGAGTAATGCAAATCAAAAGAACTCTGAGGTTCCATATTACACCTGTAAGAATGGCCAAGATCAAAAACACTGATGACAACTTA